CAATTTCTTATCCTATAGTACCTGATTTCTCATTATTTTATTATTTAACTAAGCTTATAATTTTTTAAAATACCAAAGTCAAAGATATTTCGGTGCTAGGAAATTTAAATTTTAATGCTAAAAAACTAGATCTTTAATATCTTGTATAGTATTTGCAACTATTTTGTTAATCCATAAATATATACTCTTCGCGATCGGTTTTGGAATCTTTATATCAGAAATAGCGAAAACGGTTTTAAGAACGTCTTTTGATTTCAGATTACTATGGAGGAGGCACGAGGTGATCCGACAAAATCATCATTGCTGCAGAAGCTACTGCAGTCCGAGTGACTGCAGGCCACTATCCCGTCATGCAGTAAAGAGTTATATGTAATATATTTTTGAGTGTGCAGAAAGCGGAACGGAGATATATAGGACATATATAAAACGCGGAAGAGTAAGAGTACGAAAAAAAGGAGAAAAAATGCGTGAGAAAGAATTATAAAATGCATATACACTTATACGTAATGGATACTATTGTATTATATGTAACGTCACACACGGAGTCAGTATTCATATACGTATCACCAAATACAATGCAAAACTAGCGCGCGGTGCTCTCTAGAATGTTGCCCGTCGATCAGTCGAGGAAAAAGGACGAGCGAGAACGAGAGAGAGAGAGAAAGAGAGAAAAGAGAAGAGTGAGAAATAGAAAGATAGATATAGGAAAAGAGGAATAGAAAGATAGAGATAGGAAAAAAGAGATAAAGAGATAGAGAAATAGAAAGAAAAAAAGAGATAGAAAAGGGGGAAACGGCGGGACCTATTCCCTTTCTTTTTGCTTTTCGAACTTGAAGGACCAAAAGTTTAGTTTTCGTTTGGCTGTGTCGAGATTTCCTGGCTGAGCACGCGATTCGCCAGGAGTATCGAGGTCGCGTTTTATCGTGGTATGGAGAGAATCGATTCGCGGCGTTCGTTCCCGTCGCCTTTTATGTTTTTTCCTTTTTTTTTTTGTTTTGTTTGTTGAGGAAAGAATCTTTCTCTCGAGCTCTCGTCTCGACTTCGGATGACCGAAAATATATGTCGTATCGTATATTACGCTGTGATGATCACAAGCATACGATGAACCCACATCCGCATTTTACCTGTCGATACCTGTGTGTATGTATGTGTATGTATGTGTTAATGCTTGCGCGTGTGCGTGTGTATCGCGTTCTCCGTCAGTATTGTATTTGGTATATCACAAGAGCGGGAAAAAAAAGGAGAGGAAACTATATATAGGTACCTCAAAAAAGGTATACTTTACTATACCACTGGCTGTTGAACATAGATACTATTTATAGGATTTAATTATTCTATACACAGATGAAAAAAAGAAAGAAATAGAGCACTCTATTCACGTATTCTTAATTTAACATCTTTTTTCGACTATTACATTTATGAATAATATATTTGTGATTGTAAGAATCTGCAACCAAAATGTGACAAAGAATACTTGTTGTTGTTAATATGATTATAACTATTATTATATTGTAATAACTATTAATTTTATTTTATTTTATTATTATATTATTAATATTATTATTATTATTATTATTATCGACATTATTATTATCACTATTACCAATATTCTTGTTGCAATTATTATATTATTCTAGTAATAAGAATATAATTATTATATTATTTTATTATATATATATATCAATATTGATATTATTATTGAACACTTGGAATATTCATATTTCTATTCAATAGTAAGAGTACCTTTATATAAATATAAATATAAATATATTATTGTATAAATGTATATGTATATATATGTATAGTGGGTTTATGTACGCGTTATATATAAATAATAGATGCGAACATTATTTATGTATAATCGATACATAAATTGACGTATATTTATATATCTATACATGCGAGATGGAGAGAAAGAGAGAAAAAAAAGGAAAATCGATCTTCTATTTTGCATAGCTCGGTAATGATTCTCTTTTGGGTCTTAGATGCACACAAAATTACTTCTAAATGACATCTGTTGTTATATAAATGAGAAAAGAGGAAATCTAATTACACCTACACGTGTATATGCACACGATGCTATGCGCGCGCGCGTGTGTGTGTATACGCGTGTACACATACATATGAAAGAAATCTCACGCAAGTGTCTTATTTTTCCAGGAAGTTCACCACTTATTAAAAGTTGGAAGAAATCGCTACTAGAGGTTTTGAATGCGTGTAACGACAATGATGGGCTCTCGGTATGGAATATGCGAATAGAGAACATCGGCGAATTTTCTTTAGCATCGACGGAAATTTGTTTTAATTGTAAAATTAATGATTCGCATGAGAAAAACCGTCTCTCTTTTCCATTTCGTTTTAACCGTGATTTACAAATGTGATTTCGACGGACGCGAACGTGGCAATTCTAGTGTTTATTTGGCGTGTATTATTATATTTATATTGTTATGCGTCCGTCTTGTGTTTTTTAAAATTTCGAAAGTTTTTTTTATCGAAGGGAAAAGGGAAGGCGTTTTTAGTTTTTTTTAATTATTTAATAGAAATTAGTTTATATTGTTTTAGTGTTTGAATCGTCGCATGATTACTATATAATGAAAAGCAAAAGAATCGAATTTGTTTGTTGCGTGTATCTAAAAAACGGATAGATATGCGTTGTTAACAGCTTTCGTTGTTTTCTAATATTTTTTACAATACGATATATGTTTTTTCTCCGCGGCGCGAGGAAATAAGTATGATGACAATGATGATAACGAGGTTGATAATGAGATTGATGATAACTGTGTTGATACTGTGATGACATTAATACTTGGCCTGCTCGTCCCCTGTTGCTTTTTCTTCCAATTGAAAGCAGTTACAAAGTTGTAATCTCCATACAAAAAAAAAAAAAAGAAAAAACACGACCGTGAGGTACTCTGAATATGTACACGTACATACATAGGCATGTACTTGCCTGTGAACGCGGATACGTATATTACGCGTACGAGAGAGATAGAATGAAAGAGAGCGAGAGAGCGAGAAAGAGAAAAAAAAACGAGATTAGTACGCATGTACATGTTTGTGTATGTCCGCGCGTGTGCATGCTTATGCCAGGGTGCGAGATGGAAACGTCGTGGCGTTTAGGCGTGCAGTGTGTATGCGTGTGTGCGTGTGGAGGCGTGCGTTGTTCGTAGGCACGCTCGTACGCGGGTGTGCGTAGCAAATTACGTCATATAGATAGATCATATGTGCTTTCTAATGATGAATAATTTTATAAATATAAATATAATATCGATCTCTCACCGTGTACGTTCATTTCGTACGACGAGCTTGTATGTGAACTTCGCGTGTCCTGGAAAAGGCCCGTTCGCCTTTTATTAAACTGTCAAATGATTTCAGTGTTCTTGCTTCATTTCAGTTGATTCTTTTAAGCGTTCCGCGAACACGTAAAATATCCTCTCCCCCTTGCCATTTTCCCTTCTTCCTCATTTATATCGCTTCCAGTTTCTGCCTTCGCTCAAGAGCTTAGCGTGATATTATTTTTAGATATAGTCTAAAACTAAGATATACTCTTATTTTTTATTCACCGAAAAACGGAAATTAATTTTATTTAAACTGAAATTTATTTATTTAAGGAAACAATGTGTTTTATATCTTTTAAACGAATTTTTTTCTGCGTTTTATTTTGTAGATGGTAACGAGAAATAAATTGTCATATGAAATACTACAGATGAAACAATGAAACTGTTTTGTTGTTCTCATTAAGCAAAAAAATTTTCAAGTTATGTGACCATAATATTTTATTTAAATTGAAATTTATTTAAAAATACAAAATATTTTATACCTTCTAAAAACAATTTCATTTTGCTCGTTTTATTTTGTAGGCTGCGACGAGAAGTTATTAAATATAAAAATACTATAGATAAACCTTAATTTTCTTTACTAATAATAAAGAGATAAAGGGTATACGAGCAAACAAATTCGTTAAAACATTTAATTTTATTCTAATATATTGCGAAGAATATTACGTTATTTTTGGCGTTTCGTCCCGGCTTCCACTACTGGACTCATCAGTAAGGCATTGTAGTGGAAGCCTACCTTAGACGCCTGTGTAAGTTATTAAATCGAGATTTTATATAAAGAGATATACGCGTATCTCAGCATTTGCGAGAATTTGCGAATATCGATAGACCTCTGATGGCGGGTCTACGTAGTAATATTCTTCGCAATATTTATCCAAAGTAAGAACAATGTCCCATTAATAATTAACTAATATACGTAATCCCCCAAAATTTGCGCGCCGAACATTCGTCGGTCTTGAAACGCAATTCCCATATCCCCCCTAAATTGCGCGCCGTACAATCGTCGGTCTTGAAACCCAATTTTAATAATCTGAAAATACTAAATCTAGAAAAATTGTGATAAGAACGCATATTTTCACCCGCGTAAATTAAACGTAATATTCTTCGCAATATATTAGTGTTGATAAGGTTCAGAGGCGGGTACTTTAAAAAAAGGAAAACGATGGCACTTCTATTGAAACCTTTTAATAATTCTGAAGAGTACAAAAACGGAGATACAAGGCACACCGAGTCTCGCGAGCGTGTGTTTGAAAAACGAGAAAAGAAGGAATAATTGCGTGAGACGCGCAGGCGCGAAACGTTAAGACGGAAGATCGCGAGGCAGCGTCTCGTCGAGAGATCGAGTGTGCGAACGAAGACGAAGATGCGTGATCTATAAATGTCGCAGCTAAGATTTTGCTTACAAGTAAACTTTGAACAAAAAAAAAAATGTGTAGAGCTTTTAGATTAATTCTAACAATTAGAATAAAATTAAATATTTTAACGAATTTGTTTGCTCGTATACCCTTTCTCTCTTTATTATTAGTTTGAAAAACTTAACGAGCCTTCTCACTACATGTTTTAATTTTCTTTACTGTTTTTTTCAAGCAGACAATTTTAAGCTAAGATTAATTAACTGTTAAATATAGTGTTTTTTAATTTATTATTATTTATTCTCTTGCGTATGAAATTTATAATTTGAGATAAACGGAAAGAAGATAACCGGAAAAATGTCGATTAGCTTATACAAAAGTATCTTTATTCAATGCGAAATACATAGATAATAGTTACAATAGCAGTACAACATAACGTTAATTTAATTATCGTAGTGTGATCTTTCATAAATCGCATCGGAGAGCACGACGTTATTGGCAGTTTCGCGATAGCCGACGCGACAGGTTCTTTTTCTATTTGGCATAAGGCAGTTATATGGCTTCACGGTAGCCGGCGGCGCTTTTTATCGTACGCGCAGGAAGAGACGAGATGGCCAGGAGAATGGGTCGTAGACTTTCTTCACAAGATGGGAACGAATATAGCGATAAATTCTCAAGAACGATAGAAGAGGATTTTCAGATAAGCAGCAATCCAGGCCTTGATTCAACAGCAGCTACTTTGACAAGCAACTCTTCTTTCATGTTCATCATGTTGAAATGCATTGATAAATTTGCGTTTAAATATAATATGCATATATATGATAAAATGCATTGAGAAGTTTATCAAAGTTGCATTTCATATCCAATACTTTAATTTCAATGGTCTGTGATTTAAAAAGGAGTTTATTATTTATATAATTTATTTTCCAAACAACTTAAATAGACCGGAAATTATTAGTATTTTGTTTATATAATCTTGAGTCTTTATGTAGTTCTTGAACATTCGTTCGCGCTTTCTGTCCGATGCAAAGTCTACGAACTAAGGCACCCAGCCGATATAACTTAACTAATAGAACAAAAGTTTTTCTTGCTTCTTTATATACATAGGCTCGTTACACCCTTGCACGTCATTGATGCCGCTGGATATATGCGCAATTCTTATTACGCCTACACGTTATTGGAAGACTCCGTCGATTCCCAGTGCCTGCCGCGTACGCGACCTCTCCTGCGTTGATGCTGGGGTACGCGTCTATGCGAGTATCTTCCTCGATTATAGGGTGACCACGGATTAAACGGCATCCTGGAGGACTCATAGTCAGGCGGCGGATTACGAGGTGGCGGTGCCGGTGGAGCAATGCCCCAATTATTGGGAACTCGCTCATTGTTGGATGTGAAAGGCTTCAAAATTTCGGTGACCCGTCGGCGGAGGCACACGGCGCAGCGGCTCACTCGGGACGTATAATCGGCTTTGAGCGTCTGTTGCAGCGGTTTGCGGAACATCTCGTTGTCGTGAATGGTCGCTAGCCAGTATGATGTAGCCGTAGCGAAGTAATTACAAGTGCCGAGGCCACGACATTCAATAAATGGTCTGATGCGGAATTCTTCTAAACAGGATCCCGGGGAGACTAGGGATTGACCACCACCGTCCGCACCTGCATCTCTGTGCTGTAATTTTGTAATAAAAGTAATTATATAAAATTATTATATTAAACGAATTGATAATACCTTTAATATTCACTTAAACGGTTACATATTTTTTATGTATATTGAATTCTAATCTATATTAAAATTAATATAACGTAACACAATCGATCTTACCATGAGGAAACTGTATCCAACCCAGATTTCTTCCCAGCCACCCGGACATTCAGGTATTGCCATGGATTGACTGTGAACAGCTATTACTCTAGTCGGTGCTTCGCACACAGAACATCTCGATATGTATCTACCAACTTCTGGAGCCGGTATTGGTGTCATCATCATCGGCATAGGTTCGGTTGTACTGAGCCAGTAGCTGTAGTCATTACGATTGGCATAATCGCATACGTTGTTTAGATTGCAGAAAAGGAAGGGCATAGTGGAGAACTTCCTGATGCAACTACCAGCAGCGCCTGTGAATTGTTACTTGCATTATACTTTATGATTTATTAATTACATTATACTCTTAAAGATTACTTTCAAATCATGTGTATTCTTGTAATGTGACAAAAATTTTAATAATTGTTTTTCTTCTTGTATTAAGTTTCTAATACACTAGATTGTCAACAAAGTTCTGTGTGTGAATTACCCCCTTTTTACATACAAATTTATTTAAAAATCTATTTTTCAAGATAAAAGTTATTATGTTAAAAAACCATTCGTCATCAATCTGTTAGTTATCGAATTTGGTTTTAATATCATTCATTTACTGTGATTATATCAGTATACAATTTTAATCTTGCATTTGATTATGATTTGTTTCGCTTAATGAAATATTTGGGTCTACGCACAATAGGAGAAATATTAGAAACAGATATTAAATATAAGAATTTTAACCTGTCAGAAAATGCACATTCCACAGTACACAGTTCTATTGTGCGCAGACCCTTTCTTGTAAGGATTCAAAACTATTGAGTAAGTTGAGGTAACTTGTCATGAGTTCTTTGTATCTAAAGAACTCGAATAATATCAAATCCGAGATCAAAATCCGAATGGTGGTTATTGAACGTGATGGTCTTTATTATAAGGATAAATGTTTTTGAATAAATTTATATGTAAAAACTAAAAGATGATTCAGAATCTTTTTACAACTTAGTTACATTAAAATTTTATTATATTTTATAAAAACAATGTTTATATTAAAAATACATATATATTCCTTACCAAGATCCTGCGCGTAAGCTCGTCCATTACCCATGATGTGCAATAACGAAAATCCTTCCCAGATCTTCACGGTATTTCTTGGACAGACTGGTATCATTTCGGTTTGCGAGTGACGAGCAAAGTAGAATCCTCTATCTCTTGGCCCAATTCCACTTGGTGCAGGTAATCCAGGTGCACCAGGAAAACCTGCAAAAGTGATTGTTTCCTTATTTAACCATTAAAGGCTTTCGTATTGGTTGTGTTTCACATATGTACGCTCCTATAACATTTAATATTTAATATTTTGTTCCTTATTTAATCTACAATTTAAACAACGTAAATTGTTGCATCAACATATTGCTTTAATTGCTGAAAATTAAATTATTATATTAATATTTAATATGAGATATGTATTGTTATACCTGATTGTCCTTGTCGTCCTGTAGATCCGGGAGGTCCTTGATATCCGGGAGGTCCATCTTTACCATCCGGTCCTTGCGGCCCAGGAATTCCAATCATTCCTGTCTCACCCTGTCGACCCGGCAGACCATCCTTACCAGGCTCACCTATCATTCCCTGTAGTCCAGGGAAACCTGTGTATTTACCACATGCGGTATTATATTTCTATTCAATAAAATATATTATACATATATAATACTATTTTTATTTTTACAAAATGAATATATAACACCTGGTAATCCGGGTTCTCCTATATCACCGGGAAATCCTCGTCTCGGGAACGGTGGGAAAGGATTTATGCCAAGTTCTCCTTTCGATCCCTTTCACAAACATATATTTAAAATAAATGTTTTATCCTTGTTCTTTACTTTATATTTCAATTATTTAAAATATTGGATACATTTAGTACAACAACCGCTCACTGAGCGCTTAGTGAGCGATCGTCGTACTGAATGCACCCATTGTTATATTTGATATTATATTAATCAAAAAATAATTAAATTAAATTAAATCTGTAAGGATATTTTTGTTATTAAAAATAAAAACGAAAGAAACTAACGAGTAAACTGATGAATGTAATATCTAAATTGTGAAAAATACGATTTGTTAAAAATATGAGACTCACTTTTGGCCCTGCAGGACCAGGCAGCCCACGTAGACCAGGTTCACCAGTTTCTCCTCTTTCTCCTTTCTGTCCTGGTAATCCGTCAATACCAGGTAGACCAGAGTCACCTCTCATTCCCTTCAATCCAGTTCGACCATCTAATCCATGCCATCCAGGTTCGCCAGGTTGTCCTTTAGCACTGTCTGCAGATATTCCTGGTTCTCCACGGAGACCTTTCGGTCCTGGTGCTCCAGGGAAACCTTGCAATCCTTCTAAACCTGGTGTACCCGGAAAGCCAACGAATCCTTGCAGACCTGTTCGAAACGTAAAATAATAAAAACTAATTAATTTTAATATTTTTAAATTTTGTCTTGTTATAGTATCTAAATAAATTTACAGAGAAGTTGAAAATGCAATAATGATTATTACCTGGCTCTCCGATCATTCCTTTAGGACCACGAAGGCTGTGGCCTACGTCACCAGAGATTCCCTTAGGTCCGTTTGAACCATATTCTCCAGGAGCTCCTTTTTGTCCCGCACGTCCTGGAATACCAGGCATACCGTCGAGACCGGCGCGACCAGGTTCACCTGGTTCAGCGAATTCACCGGGTAAACCTATGATAAACAAATAAGAAAATGAAATTAAATGAGATAAAATATCAAAAGTTTGAAATATTTAAATTAAAATAAGAAAGAGAAGATGTTTGTAGATTTTTATAGGCAAAATTAGAACATGAAGCATATGGCATTAGTTTTTTTATCTTAACTTACGGGGACTTACAAAATTTATTATATATTCTGACTATTAATTGTAATAAAATTTTATATGAAATAAAACAGAATATTATTTTAAAAATATTGAGTTAGAGAGAGAGAGAGAGAGAGAGAGAGAGAGAGAGAGAGAGAGAGAGAAACTGACAAATCTAAATATTAAAAAAATTAAAATATATTGTACACAATTTTAATAAATTTAAGTCCTACAAGAATAAAAAAAAATTTAGAATTAAATACTACTATATTGAATATTGTGGGTACATTATATAATACCTGGAGCTCCACGAGGTCCTTGATCACCCGGCAGACCAGGGAAACCAGGTAATCCCAGCAAACCATCAGGACCTGGATATCCTCTGTCTCCAATTTGACCCTATAATGAACGAATGAATAATTTGTCTTGAAGTTAAAGAATTGAAATGTCCGATTTAGCTCGCTCATTTACCTTACGACCAGGTACACCAATATATCCTGGTTCGCCTGGCTGTCCTTTCACACCAGAGAAACCATCGTGGCCACGATTACCAAAATCACCCTTCTCCGCAAACGCGTAAGATGGTAAACCAGGTTCGCCTATGTGACCTTTTGGTCCAGGATAACCCATAATGCCTGGAAGTCCTCTCACACCCGGCTCACCCGGCATTCCTGACGTAAAATGTATTATAATTTGTTAATAAAGAGTACTGATGCAACGTTTTACTTTCTTCCATTATAAATAAACATAAGCTGAAAAAATAAGCGTTTATTATGAGATATAAAAGTATCAAAATATGTAATAAAAATATAATGAAAATAAATGAATGCTATTATCAGTATCATATTTACCTGGTCTACCCATTATACCGGGGTCACCATCGAGACCAGGTTTTCCTTTCAAGCCATCAAATCCAGGTGGTCCAATCGGGCCTCTTTCACCTTTAGCACCGTATCTTCCAGGTATTCCAGGCGCACCTGGTCTTCCTGGGAAGCCTTGCTCGCCTTGTTCGCCTTTTAATCCATCAGAACCCATGTCACCAATTTCTCCCTATAAAGACAAATACATTATATTAATTTGAATGTAACAAAAAACCTGCAAACTTTATTCTTACTTATATGACGGAGTAAAAATAGTACCTTGCCTTTTGTATCTTAAAAAATAAGTATTTTGTTCTTCTTGATAATAAGAAGATGAACATACCTTTGGTCCTCCGATACCATCGTATCCGTCGAACCCAGGTTCACCTTTCTGTCCTTGCAGGCCATTAAAGCCGTCAGTGGCTAATCCCGGTTCTCCTGGTAAACCTGGTCGTCCGTCGAATCCAGCTAAACCAGGCGACCCAGGTTCTCCCATAAAACCAGGTTCACCCATGTCACCTTGAGGGCCGCTGAAAGAGTTTTCGCCAAGGATCCCCGGTAATCCTTCGAGACCAGCATTACCAATGATACCCTTAAATCCAGGCGGACCTGGTACTCCTAGGAAACCAGGAATTCCAGCGTCTCCCATCTCTCCTTTAGAACCGGGTGCTCCGTCTATACCATCAAAACCAGGCCAACCGAGTGGTCCCGGGTCGCCACTCTCACCGACATCTCCCTTTTCTCCTGGAGCACCCGGTAAACCTTGTGCACCATGCATTCCTTGATATCCTTGAGGTCCCACATCACCATCGTCACCACGTCGTCCAATAAAACCGATTTCTCCTTTTAGGCCTTTCATTCCATCAAAACCAGAAGGACCATCAGGACCTGAAAATAAATTTATATTATGTTCGTTATTTTTAAGATAGAAATTAAAGTGTGAACTAATGCTACGACGCCAAGTTAATTTATCGAAAACGTCAAATTATTCTATAAACATAAAATGATAACTTTCTAGTAGCTACAATAAAGAATCAAAATAAGAGATAAAAAATTCGAAATTATTCAAATTATATGAAATTTACTTTATAGAATGGCTTGCTTTAGGTTCTAAGGTTTTGATACTTACCGCGGATACCGACGTTTCCGATTCTTCCGGACATTCCGGGCATTCCAGGCTGGCCCGGAAATCCACGACCACCTTGTATACTATCTCCACGTTGACCTTTGGCTCCCTAAATTCAAATTGATTACTTTAATGTATATCATCTATAAATATTTTAATATAAAATAACTATTTTTGTAGAGTTAATTAATCTTTGAAACAATCTTCATAGAAATGAATAAGACTGTACTCACTTCAAGTCCAGGCAATCCTTCGTAACCAGGAGCTCCCTTACCACCCTTGACACCCTTGACACCATCTTCTCCCGGTCGACCACGTAATCCTTGTGGACCAGCATCACCAAAATCACCTTTTGGACCGTACCATCCACGTTCTCCAATTTCGCCGTATGTTAAATTTGATCCTGGTTCTCCTCGTTCACCTTTATTGCCAATACGACCCTATAATAAGCAATTACATTCATTATTTTTCTTAACGTATAAAAATTTAATAACTAACAATGAATAAAATTATTTTTTACTTACGTATGTACAATTAAGCTGCCAAAATGAAAATTATTTAATTTACTTACCGGAAAGCCTACTGGCCCCTGTAGTCCAGGTGAGCCTGATGTGCCTCGAAGTCCCTGGTCTCCTGGCATTCCGGGATATCCTTTTAAACCTACAGAACCTTGAAGCGAAATTCCTGGAGAACCAGGCTCACCAAACAATCCTGGCAGACCTTCATCGCCAGGACGTCCTTCAAAACCTTTGAAACCATTCTCGCCTACGAGAATATAGAAAGTAATTCAACATTTTTAAATATCCAATTCCTTTGCAATTAAAAAGTCAACATTTATACAAATTATACTATATTTATATAATTGTATGTAAATAAAAATAAATATAAATTATAATCTTTATAATTATATTACAATTTATGTGCGATTTTCAAAAGAAAAATTAAATAAACACAAAATCGCTTTTAAACAATCAATTATAAAAGAAAAATAATTTTCAAAGATCTTTTTTTAATATATATTTTAATAAATCTTTCAGTTTAACATACCGGGAGCTCCTCTAGCACCTTTGTAGCCCTTGTCACCCTGGCTATCTGCGATATATTCTGCAGATACACCAGGTTCTCCCTTGTTACCCTTATCTCCTTGTATTCCTTTTATTCCTTCCTCTCCCGGATATCCCGGATCTCCACGCAAGAATTCGATTGGTATCGAAGCATCTTCACCCTTTTCGCCAGGAATACCATCCCATCCTGGCAAACCGTCTTTTCCCGGTAATCCAGGAAGACCATGTTCACCCTATATATAATAACAAATATTGTCAAATTAGAATAAATGAGAAAGCAATAATAATTAATCAGCTGTGCGACTGAAAAATATTATATAATAAACTAATAATATATATAATGGTACTCCTAGGAAACCAGGAATTCCAGCGTCTCCCATCTCTCCTTTAGAACCGGGTGCTCCGTCTATACCATCAAAACCAGGCCAACCGAGTGGTCCCGGGTCGCCACTCTCACCGACATCTCCCTTTTCTCCTGGAGCACCCGGTAAACCTTGTGCACCATGCATTCCTTGATATCCTTGAGGTCCCACATCACCATCGTCACCACGTCGTCCAATAAAACCGATTTCTCCTTTTAGGCCTTTCATTCCATCAAAACCAGAAGGACCATCAGGACCTGAAAATAAATTTATATTATGTTCGTTATTTTTAAGATAGAAATTAAAGTGTGAACTAATGCTACGACGCCAAGTTAATTTATCGAAAACGTCAAATTATTCTATAAACATAAAATGATAACTTTCTAGTAGCTACAATAAAGAATCAAAATAAGAGATAAAAAATTCGAAATTATTCAAATTATATGAAATTTACTTTATAGAATGGCTTGCTTTAGGTTCTAAGGTTTTGATACTTACCGCGGATACCGACGTTTCCGATTCTTCCGGACATTCCGGGCATTCCAGGCTGGCCCGGAAATCCACGACCACCTTGTATACTATCTCCACGTTGACCTTTGGCTCCCTAAATTCAAATTGATTACTTTAATGTATATCATCTATAAATATTTTAATATAAAATAACTATTTTTGTAGAGTTAATTAATCTTTGAAACAATCTTCATAGAAATGAATAAGACTGTACTCACTTCAAGTCCAGGCAATCCTTCGTAACCAGGAGCTCCCTTACCACCCTTGACACCCTTGACACCATCTTCTCCCGGTCGACCACGTAATCCTTGTGGACCAGCATCACCAAAATCACCTTTTGGACCGTACCATCCACGTTCTCCAATTTCGCCGTATGTTAAATTTGATCCTGGTTCTCCTCGTTCACCTTTATTGCCAATACGACCCTATAATAAGCAATTACATTCATTATTTTTCTTAACGTATAAAAATTTAATAACTAACAATGAATAAAATTATTTTTTACTTACGTATGTACAATTAAGCTGCCAAAATGAAAATTATTTAATTTACTTACCGGAAAGCCTACTGGCCCCTGTAGTCCAGGTGAGCCTGATGTGCCTCGAAGTCCCTGGTCTCCTGGCATTCCGGGATATCCTTTTAAACCTACAGAACCTTGAAGCGAAATTCCTGGAGAACCAGGCTCACCAAACAATCCTGGCAGACCTTCATCGCCAGGACGTCCTTCAAAACCTTTGAAACCATTCTCGCCTACGAGAATATAGAAAGTAATTCAACATTTTTAAATATCCAATTCCTTTGCAATTAAAAAGTCAACATTTATACAAATTATACTATATTTATATAATTGTATGTAAATAAAAATAAATATAAATTATAATCTTTATAATTATATTACAATTTATGTGCGATTTTCAAAAGAAAAATTAAATAAACACAAAATCGCTTTTAAACAATCAATTATAAAAGAAAAATAATTTTCAAAGATCTTTTTTTAATATATATTTTAATAAATCTTTCAGTTTAACATACCGGGAGCTCCTCTAGCACCTTTGTAGCCCTTGTCACCCTGGCTATCTGCGATATATTCTGCAGATACACCAGGTTCTCCCTTGTTACCCTTATCTCCTTGTATTCCTTTTATTCCTTCCTCTCCCGGATATCCCGGATCTCCACGCAAGAATTCGATTGGTATCGAAGCATCTTCACCCTTTTCGCCAGGAATACCATCCCATCCTGGCAAACCGTCTTTTCCCGGTAATCCAGGAAGACCATGTTCACCCTATATATAATAACAAATATTGTCAAATTAGAATAAATGAGAAAGCAATAATAATTAATCAGCTGTGCGACTGAAAAATATTATATAATAAACTAATAATATATATAAAAATTAAATTATTAAATAATTATATTTTACCAAATATTTGACAAATTCTTTTTTATCGTGGAGAAATAACTATGTTTTTTAAAAACAAAAAAATACCTTATCTCCTTTTGGTCCTGGTACACCAGTGTCGCCAATGGGTCCTGGTTGTCCTCGTAGACCTCTGATTCCTTCGGGACCTGGTAAGCCTTTCTCACCAAAATCACCCGGTGGACTTACAATCTTCTCACCTGGCGGGAAGAATATCTTTCCTTGTTCTCCTTTAGGTCCTTGAATCCCTGCAATACCGGATCTTCCGCTGTCACCCTCAAGCCCCGCTGGTCCTGACAGGCCACGCTTTCCTAGAATACCCTTAAATCCTCGAGGACCGGGTAATCCAGAGAATCCCGTAGTTCCAGGATATCCATCCAAACCAGATTCACCACGTTGTCCTTTCTCACCGGGCAAACCTGTGTAATTATGATAATATAAATAATTATAATCTTAGTAATAAGAGTAATTATCACTTTAATTTTTCTTTCAAATGTCTCTTTTACGTAAATATTTTTTATAAGTTGTATTTAATTTTTACCTGGGGAACATATGCCACAGTCATCTCCTCGAATACCTTTGGTACCTTTAGGGCCGGTAAATCCTGGCCAGCCGTCAGGACCAGAAATACCAGGTGTTCCGGGTAGACCACGTTCTCCAGGTGGGCCACGAATTCTTATTCCTTTTCCAGGAAAACCTTTTTCTCCTGTTTAATAATTGTAATTATTTGTGATTAAAGAAACTATTTACGAATAAAATTATTAAACTGGTACTAAGAGAGTTGATAATAAAAAATATATAAAATACACTTTAATATTATAATTTTATTCATTTTTTAAGTAATAGAAATTTTAAGTTTTTACCTGGAGGACCAGGATCACCACGATCGCCGGGCGGACCTGACAAACCTGGAAGACCTGGATTGCCGTCTGGTCCCGGCGGTCCAGTTATCGTTATTCCCGGAAATCCTTTGGCACCTATAATTCCGGGTAAACCGGGTAATCCGGACGATCCTTGAGGTCCCACAGGTCCTGGTAAGCCTGGGATAATTTATAAATAGCCAATTATTACAATTGACATTTGCTATAAAACAATTATTGATATAAAAAAATAAATATACAAAACAATCAATTACCATCATCTCCTTGTTCTCCTTTTATAGATGAGCCTTTTGCTCCTGCGAAACCAGGATTACCTGGAAGTCCTGGTGGTCCTGGCGGTCCTATGAAACCGACCTTTCCTGACAGACCCGGTGTTCCTGGTTCGCCTGCTTCGCCTGGGGGGCCTGTAAAAAAAACAAAAGCTTTAGTTTACAAAATTGATTTATAAAAAGTTTTTCTAGGTTTAAAAAAGTATTATAATCTTTAGCGATTTCTAAATATTAAATATAATATCATTATTTCTTATTTAAAAAGGATAAAATAATTAAAATCAGAGGTCTATAGATATTCGCAAAAATTCTCGCAAGTGCTTTGATACGCGTATATCTGTATATATAGAATCTCGAATTAATAACTTAAACAGGCGTCTAAGGTAGGCTTCCACTACAATGCCTTACTGATGAGTCCAGTAGTGGAAGTTGAGACGAAACGCCATAATTATGTGATATTCTTCGCAATATATATTAGATTAATTTATAAAGGTTTTAACGGAATTATTGGCTCTTGCCCTTATCTCCTATATTAGTTATAAAATAATTATATATAATATTTATTAATATATATATAATTGACACAAATAGATATTTAAATATCTTTAGGAAAAAAGAATGACTTATATATCGTCCACTGACCAAGATCTCCTTGGATTCCAATATTTCCGGCAATTATCTCATCAAGTTCTGGAATGTATTGTCCAGGTTCTCCTTCAGCTCCTTGTCTACCAGGTGGACCACGATTTCCTTCTTCTCCTGGTTCTCCCTTCATTTAATAATTATTAAATAAAACGCGATATATCTAACTTTATCTAATACTATACCACATACAATTCTTTAAATATTTTTTAATCGATTTGACTTTACTAAAAATATTACAATGCACATTGATAATTTTAAACAACAAACAATTAAGAATTAAATCATGACGCATAAAGCTGATATAAAAAATTAAATCTTTTTAAATAAATTTTAGAAATTCTTTTAATTTAAAATTTGATTACTGAAATATTTATATCATAAAAATTAACAAAAAAAAAGAAAAACTAACAATTTTATTTGTCAAATATTATTTTTTTAGAGTCAAATATAATTATCGCCCTGATGAAGTGAACGGTACGGTTCACGAAACGTTGGCATTAACAATGAAGAAAGTCACGGCGATAATCCGCAAACCTTCTGGTATAATTGAAGAAAATACCCGTGAAAGCCTCAAAAGCGTAATAATTATTTTACTTACATCTTCTCCGTCTGGACCAGGCATTCCAGCAAATCCTGGAGCTCCTTTCTCTCCCTTTTCATCAGCCGGACCAGGTGGACCCTCGACACCCTGTTTACCTCTTGGTCCATCATCACCTTGTTCACCTTTTATACCTTTAATACCTAAAAACCCTGGTCGACCCTAAATAAGAATTGTATTCTATTTATTGTCACAATATTTAACTAAAATTTATAGGGGAACGAGGAGCATGTTGTAGTAATTTTCAGAATATTGTATATAGCCTAGCGGAACACTGGCAGGCTTATCTTTATATTATAAGATTAGGAGAGCTTAGCTTTATATTATAAGGCCAAGATCGTGTTACATATTCGACGTCAAAAAGTTCAAAATCCCGATAAAAATTACATGTTATTATTTACCCCTGTTACAACTAGTCTTTGCTCCCCTACTTTAATAAGAAAAAAAAAAAAATCTCATTATTTTTGTCATGAACACAATTTTCGATTTCTTATCAACAATACATTTTTTACATTTGTAATCTTTTATAGAGAATGCAGTTATATTATTTATATTAGTTGGAATGTAACAATTTTATGATCACATTTAATACAGCATAATTACCTGTGGACCTTTAGCGCCCAATTCTCCCTTACGACCTCGATCGCCGTAGAAACCCTTCATGCCTTTTGGACCCTGCGGTCCTTTCACAGGCAACGAATTTTCTTTCTTCTTATATTCATCTTTACCCGGTGATCCAGGCTCTCCCCTGTCTCCTTGTTCGCCAAGTTGACCCTTCACACCGTACACGGTGTCACCACGCTCACCTTGCATACCTGGCAAGCCAGGTGAACCCGACAAACCCTATAGAAGAATACAAATCTTTTCCCTTTTATTGCATTTAATTAATATAATTTATTAATTCGCTTCATGAATATGTAATGATTATCTTATAAATTTATTTTTTATATATACTATTAATGTTGCTTTACGAAAGCTATATCTTAACATTATTATTTTTTAGATAAAAAACATATGTCAAAATATATTTTAAAATTTCTTTATGTGTTAAAGAATGTGTTCAAGTATACTTAATTCTGCTAACCTATTCAAATTTATTATACGATTATATTGTTTGGATTAATATGATTAAAAAATTATAAAATATAAAAAATAAAAAATTCACAGAGAAAGGATTTTTCATTAACAGACAAATTCATTAAATACTAGATAAAAGATATAAATAAAATATTAGTAGAAAAATAAATTACATTTTGAGTAAATATAGACAGGAATCAGATCAGGATTAAGTATATTAGGTCTTTTCTTACTCCTGAAGCATTTCGTACGCTGAAATGTTTGAAACTACAAGTTTCTCGTTTAACTAATCAAGTCAAGACTCATCAAGAGACTTGTAATCGAGCGATCGTGCGCGATACCCTCGAGACACCCGGTATACCTTGATGTAGTTCTGCCGGTTCTGCCTATATATTACGTACGCATTACGCTGAAGTTACATCTAGCGTGGCAGAGCGTAAGTGCATGTATTATGAGTCCATTATAATGCTAATTTAAGTGCACGTCCTGGTCCATCCCTGTTTATTTTTACTCCGAGCGAAATGGAGCTACTGTAGACACGGACTTTGCGAGACTACTTCAAACGATGCAAAGCATAATATTTTGTTTTTATTAATGTAGTTGATTAGATACGAGAATATTTCAATTATTGCTTCCAAGATTGAAATGTTGCTACATTATGATAAATTACTTTAGAGCAGGTCTTCTCTTATAGATTATTATAAAGAAAATCTATAAGCATTAATTTTTATAAATTAATACTTACGTAATTTTACTATTTTAAAATATATTCTATGATTTTTAAATTATTGATCCTTAACTCCGTAATTATAATAATAATTATTAGAAGTATTTTAAGTAGTAGTAGACTGACTAATAATAGATGGAATTATATAAAATTTACTTTTATAATTGATGTAATACGACACTAGGAAATTTATCTCACTATATGACATGCTCTTATTAAATTACAAGTGGAACATATATAATAAATGGAGAATATAATGTATGTTAAGATATAACTTAGAATTATATTGATGTATCAAAATTAACGGATGCGAATAAATGGTAAACCACTCAATCTTTGATTGAACCATTCAATCTTTCTTAAGAAACGACGGAAATTTGTTATCGCAATTTGTCGAATTAACTGTCGATCCGCCCTCCGTTTATATGGGAGAAAAGGTGCCGACTTGAAGTTCGTGCCATCGCCATAAAAAGAATTATCCGTGCAATTGTGCAGCGCGTACGATTAACGCATTGTCAATGAAAGAACCGGTTTTCGGTAGCCGATTGTGTTCTTCCTTAATGGCACGAGAGTGTAGTCGACTTTTGCCGAGGGTCAAGAAGGAGAATCCGGGCTCGTTGTGTTTCTCGGAAGCCGTTGATCGCCGAGTAAAATCTTCCCTTCATCATCTTGTGCGAAGAGACGGACTCTTGTGCTATCAGCGCCAGTCGTGTCAGCAGATAGCAGCTGACAACGGACGCGACGCTTCGGATTTCAACGTTTCGTATTTAGCGATTAAGTACGAAGTCCTCGCACATTTTAATACTTTCTTTTCTTTATTCATTTCCCGTATTCACATTGGTATTGCCCTCAAATAAAGTTATTTCTATAAAATTGCGATGAAGAAATAACTCTTCTTTCTGCAATACGCGGTCCAATAAAAAATATTAAGAAGATAAATTTTTCACGAAAAGATGTGTATATATGAAATTGACACGTTATATGTATATTAAATAATTTTCTTTAAAACAAAAGGATTGATATGTAAAGTGATAAGAAAAAGATAGTTTCTTTTTTACAGTGCCTCGGTAAAAAAATATTAATCTTTCGATGTCACATTATAAGTTTTGTCACATGTATATACAATATAACACATTGAATATATTGAGTAAAAATATCGCGTAAGAATGAGTATATTATAACCAATTGTTTTCAATAAAAACGTAAGATTAAGAAATATAATAAAGTGACAATCAAATGTATATATTTTTACTAAGAAGTTATAGAATATAGAGTAAAAGAAACAGTCTAATATGTCATATTTAGAGTGGCATCAAAAAGCAAGAAAGATAAGTTTTCGGTGGAAAAAAAAGGATATATACACGAAATTCGCACGTTACATGTTAATAATTTTCTCTAATTGTAAGATGAAAGAATCGTTATAAATTAACAATGACGATTAACACTTTTCCTGAATTTGATTAATTTGTTATACATCGAATAAGCTCTTTCCTCTGTGATCTTTCATTAGCGGAGCTGTGAATTTTCCGAGACAAGAGTCTATCACTTCGTTCGTTAATTAGCTGTGTCAATTAAATTGGAAGCGAGAAGAAAGCTACGCTTCCTACGCGAAAGTAGCTGATAAGCGGCCGTATCGCTAGTGAGTACACGTGCTGAAAACGTTAAACCTTTCCCTTTTAGCAAAAAGGGTTTCCTCGTGCCTCGGGGGATACGTGTAACATTGCGCACGTAATTCAACGGGCGTAACTTGGAATACTGCGGATACAAGTGGTGCAGATAACTTTCGAGTGGCCCTCGCATTTAGCTCTATACGCTTTAAGAATCTCGTAAAGTTCCGTCGTCTGGTTTATACGAACCGAAATACTTGCGGCATACATACGTTACATTACCATATCGCGCTTCTCGTATCGCACAGCTGTAATTTAAGAGAAACGACGTCCTATTCTTTCCAGATTGCAAACCTGCCATCTGTTTCATTCTTTTGAATGAATATGTCTTTGTATTTTTAATTTAATTAATTCTCTTTCTAATTAAAATTTACTTCTTCATACTGATCTTCTCTCTCTCTTTTATATTCATGAATTTAAAGATCTATTTATAGTATTTGTATTTCAGTGATTATTTCTGTAATGAAAGAACAGTTTTGCTGAAGTATCTAAAAATTCAACTAGATACCGATTTGAATATAATTTCTGCTATAATGCCTCTAACTAAATTTTTAGATACTTCAGCAAAACGATTCTTTCTATAGACTTTTAAAATAATAAAAGATAATGTAAACAAATTTATTAGCTTATATTTGATAATTAAAATTAATAATTTTTTATTCTTATATTGTTTGATTTTTTCTAACTATTTTTAAAAAATAATTTCTATTCATTCTGTAATACGGTGGAGCCACACGAAAGTATTTTCCTGTTTAGAGCGTGAACATTTATTTCGACCAGTATAGCGCAGTTTTATTTAAAGCCCGAATGTGCATTCGCGTTCGCGTTCAGAGGTGACTTTTAACTCGACGGCGTGTAAGAGGATTCCTTGGAGCAGTGCTTATCGCGCGACGGAAATCGCGACTCGCGCGGAATTCTTTCAGATTCTTTCCGCTTCTTTTCTTCCTCTTTACCTGGTACCCCGTTAAACATTACTGGGGAATACTTTGGGCCAGCAAACGATATTTCATGTGAGCAGGTGGCGTTTTGCAAAAAGGAACGAAAGCCGTCTCGAGAGTCGGACTGTCGAGCTTGTCTCCTTCTTCGTCCTATCCTCTTCCTTTTTCTTCTTCTCCTTCATATCCACTCTTCGGGGACCTACCTAAACGCTCGCGCGAGGGTTCACCGGCCCTCGAGAGTCGGCACCGATCGACCGGTGTTACGGTACCTTAAACAACCGTGGGATATACAAGCGTGCTTCTGTTATTACTTACAAAGTCGCCTGTGTCTCCTGGATAACCCGTCTCGCCGGTGAGCCCCTGCTGTCCTCGATAACCCTGGAAAGGCGATCATATCTTAGAACTAATCGCTACGAGTGCAGTTACGACGGAATTAATCCGCGATAATTTTAGGAGAAATAGAAACTTATACTTATTACAATTTCTTTTAGTATTACATACTGATATAATAAACTCATAAAGAGTCAATTTTGATCACAAGAAACTTTCGACACATAAATGTAGATTTAAACGTTAACAAAATATTTCAATTTATAATTCAATTTATACATGTATGTACCTATATATGTAGAAAAGTTCATGAATTTAAATGATTATATTAAATAATTAGTGTACAATATGCACTATTTGAGAATCAATTACGGAGAACAACAAAGAATAATTGCATCACACATAAATATTAATAACATATGCGACGATATAATTGTCAATTTAATTTATCTTATTTTCGCACTGAATTTTTATCCTCAAACTGATGCTACGTGAAAATGAATAATAATGTATAAATATTCAGATACTGAATTTTTTTGATAGCGTAAACATCGTTATCAAAATATGATTTTTGAACTTTTAAGTTATTAAATAATATACTCCGCATTAAATGTGACATATACTACGCGTTAAATGTGAACTCTTACCTCCAAACCATCAATACCGGGATTCCCGCGAATTCCTTTGGCACCGACCGAATTTATACCTCCATCGCCCGGTTCTCCCGGGTAACCATAATCACCCAGGGGACCTGGTACACCACGAGGCCCGAAAACTCCAGGTATACCTGGTGCACCAGCACGACCGTCGGTTCCGTTGCATCCGTCCAGACCATCTGGACCCATCACACCGGATGTACCAGGATTACCCTAAGGAATGCTTGCTACAGTCTCTCTGTGATTCTTTTACATTTAAAAATATAATAAGAGTGAAATGTAAAACATTAGACTAAACTCAGCTCGAAAATTCACTAAATTTAATTCAGAAATGCAAGAAGTTCATGACTTCATTAAAGAATTTTTTGATTAAGATTTCGTTTATTTATTATTCTAGTCATTGAAATATAGTATATTAGGAAAAATTTGCTTGTTTTTATATATTCAGTCCATGCTTATTTCAAAAGAGCGATTAGAATTTTTAAGATTTACTGTGTATAGGATAGCATACATAATATAGAAATAACAAAATTCAATACATGTTATATATATGATTATTAAAAAAAATAAAGATTGGAGCATATACACATGCTCTCTTTAATTTTACGGACTGTGATTTACTTTGGAAGGCGGTAAAGGCTATAATATACGTACGGAAAGTCCTGCGACTCCCACAAATCCTTGTATACCATCGTCGCCCTAAACAGAAAAAATAGAAAATAATGTCCAATTGTACGATTTTCAACGATTATGAATGTAAATATATGTACTTTGCTGGCATCGTGCTTGAAATCATATCAACGTTAATTAATAATTTTATAAGACGATATAAAGCTAATTTGAACGCTTCAATTTATTAATTAATTAATCTGATTTATCATATTTATTACGTTTATCATATTATCATTGTATATTAATTTAGGCCTGGATTTCAGTGAATCTAATAATACTTTGAAATATATATATGATATATAATATATAATAAGATATATTATTGACTATATACACACACACACACTATATATTACTATGATATATAATTTATCTTATAGTTTAATATAATAAAATTTCACTGTGGGAGTGTGAATATTTATACGTAATTTAAACTATCAGACTATTCGCCCAGAATGCTTTTACGATTGATCTCTATTATCTCCGCGCTCAATTATGATTAACTTGACCATCGTCGCACTCAAGTACATCTTGTAACATTGTTACAATTGCAGATATGACTGCGTCGTATCCTTGATTCGGAGGGAGGTCATCCGAATCACTCGTCGCGACGACGCCGTTGTAATTCGAAGAGCGCGACATTCTCAGCCGGGTGTCTCGGAGATCCTGGAAAGTGCGTATGCAAAATACGTACGCAAGTGCGTGCGTATGCAGAAGAGCGTAAATGCATCTCGCTGATGACATCCACCGCGCTTCACTTCGAGCTGGTTAAAGGGCGACTATGTAACTACATCTGGGCACGTTCTCGTCTAATTAACGATGCGTCAAGGCATTTTCTCTTCATCTCGTTTACACAACCCGGCGTACATTTGTCATCTTGTCTAACATCCAACATAATATCTATAGTCGCCACCAGAGAAATTATACGTTTATGAAACTTTAACGTCAGATAAGAATTTGCAAACGTTTATTGTTGTTTATTGTTAATTTTTTTTGTTTGGAATTTTAATTTCTTGCTATGTTATTTCTACATGGATTTATGGATTCTTTTTTCGAAATATAATAAATAGAACAAATTATATGTAACTAGATATGCGTGGTAATAATTCAAGATTTTAAAGAGATAATATACATTATCTTTAAAAAACAAGACATAGGAGTATTAAAAAAAAAGTATAAAAATAAATAAGTAAAATAAACGTTCAATTTAATTATGAACAATCTGGAAAATGAAGAAGTTGGCTAAGAAAGCAAAACTTCTTGTTCCTTTTGTATTGTTCATTAAGAAAGTACTAGGTAGGGTAAATTTCTGCTAATTTCCGCAAGAAATACGCTTGTAGTAGATGCTAAACAGGTGGATTTTATTACATTTCGTTGGCTTTTACGCGACGTATTTGCATTAAACATCTTGCTCGAATGTTGCGTGTGGTTACAGCGTCATTACTTGTTCCCTTGAGTTTTAACATGTTTATTGTATTCGTTCAGAGTGAGTTTAAGAATTTACGCGAAGTTCCTTTCACAAAGGTGCTGTTGTATTCATCACAAATGTCCGATACTTTTGATGAGAATCCGCAAGAAGAAAGCTCGTCAAAAAAAGTACACTTAAAAAAACTAGGTGTTTTATGTGAAATCGAAAAGAATTGATAAAATTTTAACGTCTAACAATTTTTTTCGTATATATACAACCGTTAAAATAAAACTAACAAAAAATGATTAATAAAATAAAATTTTATATTTTTTAATGCGTAACTATAAAATATATTATTGCTTTTATTATACAAGATGTAATACGATAACAATTATCAGAAATTAAATTTTTCTCATTAAAAGTAATTGAAAATGGAAGAGAAAGAATCAATTTGTAGAAAATAAGAACTTTATTTTTTATTACTGTGATAGCTTTTGATAATTATAAAAGAATATGCGCAGTAGCTTTAATGCATGATAGTTTACAAACAATATTTAGACATTTAAATAAAAATTAGAGTTTTAAATAAAAATTTGCGATCATGCGTTGCAATTTAATCTACATTACATTTTAATGACATAATTTTCTTGTCATTTCTTAGAAGCTTTGTCGACATCCTTCTCTGTTTTGCTTTTTAGAAGCTTATCGTGGGGCGACATTGCTTATCACTATTAAGCGTGTGCGTATCAGTTATCCAATTTAACCATCAACAAAATAAGACATTTATTATAATTAGAGACAATATTATTAGTAAGCATTGTGAAATTATATATATATATACATGTAAAAGAGCATAAATTTGTAAATTACATTCATAAGAATATAACATTACAATAAAGTTTAACCGTAAATATATTAAATGTCTTAGAAATTGTAAAATTTAATTGTTAGAATTTTTAAAAAAATTAAAGAATAGTTGAATTTGCGTTTTAATCTAAACTTTAAACGTGCAGTTGATTTTTTATTGTTTGAATCTGGTAAATATAAATTTAAATCTGCAAAAATATAAATAAAACACAATCCAGTTTTTATAATAGTAAAAACTTGTTGTTAAAGCTTTCATTATGCAAAAAATTGTTATATAATCCAGAACAACATAAATATTTGAAGTTCGAAGATTTAGGTTATCAGTGGAAAATTGAAGAAGGGTGGAAATTTCATATTACAGGAGGATTAACACACGATTAATTACTAAAAAATGTACTATTAATTATCTAAAAAATTAAATAAATAAATATACATACATAGAATGCGTTCTACTTGACCGTAAAATTAAGATCATTGTATTACACGGACAAATAAAGTTATAAATGAATTAAAATATAGCTACAACGCAGTATGAAACGCTTTTTCTCTGGTCAGACGCCAATGAGCTTATCATACATGAATGTCTACGCATAAATGCGTATTATACGCGTAACTTATGTTCGGGTGTCGTTATCAGTTGACCTCTTGCGTAAGATGTAAGAAACGTGACTGATTACAAACGTTATAACAGCAACCGACGATTAGCAATTAAAAAGTTGTACAATATATAAAAAGCTACATTATAATAATGCTTTATACGTCATAAAAAATATCCGGTAATTTAACATGGCAATATAATAATAAAATTTGTTTACCCCATGGCCATGAGAACGTTCTCTCTCGTTATAAAAATAAAATTTTGTTTTGTAAAAGTAAAATGAGCTACAGATTATGTAATATACTACATTGAAAAAAAATTAACTGTTGTAGTAAATTAGATGGTAAAATATGGCATAGCATTTTTAATTGGTTGTGTTGCGTTAGTTTATCCGCAACGTCAATATAGGATTTCGATAGGTTAACGCAGCCAAAAAATTGGCTGTTACAACCAATTAAAAATGCGCTATGCCATATTCAGTCAATCTTTTTTTCAGTATATTAGCTCAAATAAAAGATTGGACGTGCATGAAGAAAATCTAATGTTCAGTGAAACTTCATAAAAATCCATTGTTAATATTATAATATATTCATAAGTCAATATCACGGCGCTGTGCGACAAGGATTTTTCATGGCGGTGGACGAGAGATGCCATTTATGGACATGCCCACAAAATTGACATGGGATGCCTTTTAAAGGCTGGTATTGATTGGGTAGTTGCTGGTGTGAATGAAAGGGGAAACCCGCTGTGACACAGTCGAATCAGACATTGTATCTATAAATGGGATGCAGTGGATGTATGTTGCCAATATTATCTTTTTCTCTTTCTCTTTGGGAAAGAAGAAGTTGTCACATATTTTCACGAGATGACACGGGCTGTCATCCATGCCAACGTAATCAAGATTTTAGAAGCACAGCTTGAGTGCAATTTTGTTTGTGGTAGATATGTTATATTTTATATAAAATAAGCTCGATTGTATAAAATTAGATAACACAATTTTAATATAGTAGAAATTACAAAGTGGAAGGAGAGAGAGAGAGACAGAGAGAGAGAGAAAAAAAATTTTTAATTGAGGGAGATATATTTTATTAATAATGATTAAAGATATATTTTATTAATTATATAATTTTTAAATGTTTTTAATATAATTTATGAAATAAGTTATAAATATTTAATATTATATAAATTATTAATAATAGTTGGATTTAGGTCATTTAGTTGTATTAAAAATAATTTTATTTTATCAACAACATTTTATTATATGTATTAAAGTTCATAACTTATATATTTTATAAAGACGATTTTTTGAATTAAATTTTTTTTGGATTAAATTAGTTTGGGTAAATTGGGGATTAAATTATTGTGGAACTTAAAAAGTAATCGAAACTGTTGAACATCAATGATGTAAAGCTGGATTCAAAAGAAGACTAGGAGGAGATGAAGGAATGTGGATATGACGTCACAGGAGACGTTGCACGGCTAGAATATATTGCAGAAATTTTGAGGAGGAATATATAAGCAGAGAGAGAGAGAGAGAGAGAGAGAGAGAGAAAGAGAGAGAGGGGGGGGGGTGATATATATCTGAATATGAGATCATACGGACATCCGGTTTTAGGAGTGAGCTGGGTTCACAGTGCGATTTGTCAATGGGAAGTGCGTTATCAGTGCGCGTGATGCCTCCCCATCCTCCCTTTACTAGTTCTCAACTTCCAGCTTTTGTCTCGCTTGATCTCTGACAGTTTCGTCAGAGGGACCTGATTTTTTAACGAACGCGAAAGTTCCGAGAAGTAGGTCACGAAGATTAACTTAGAGCCTGTCACGAAGAAGTAGGGAGACAGCTGCTGTGTATCATTTTTACTTATTAAAAATATGTAAAATATACGATTTTTTGTTTCATTTTAATTGGAAAGGATCTCTTGGAGGATTAATTACGACAATTTATTTGGACAATGAACTAGAAACTTCAATGTGAAGAAAGATTTCGAGATAGTTGGATGTGAATGATTTCCTTCTATGTAAGGTGTTCTAGAAATTAGTTAACCTCAATTTAAAATTTGTCTAATTGTAAGAAAAGTATTTAGTTTTCATATCGATATTCCATTTAATATTATAACTCTAATATATTATAAGTAATTATATATGTTAATATATAAATGTATATTTACTCTTTGTTGTTATAGGAATAATATACTTGGCATATCTAATTAATTCGATTGTTTATAACTTTCATAAAAATAAACATATTTAAAAAACAATTATTTTCTGTCAAAACCCTAGACATCAAAGAACATACCAAATATAAATATATATACATATATATATATATTTATACTATATATAAATATGTGTTTTATATATATACATATATATCTTTAATAATAAAAGTATAATAATAAAAAAAACACTAGAAAAAGAAGGCCGATTTTCCATACCTTAACGCACCGAAGAATTGATACAATATTAAAACACTATAAGAAATGTTAATAATTCTAATGGAAACAAGATTTATTCAATAAATAATTTCGCAAAAATTACGATGTCTGTCAATTAATTTTGCACGTCCTCAATTTTATGCGGAAATAATTTCGCGAGACGTATGATGGTAATATAGTCCAATGCTCGCTCGATGGCAGACCGGAAATGCGTTTCACCCCCGCATTTTGCGATATCAAAGAGTAGCAACCAACGCGTAGGACTACAAGGCGTGTATCTGTTTTGCAGTCATTATCGGTGCACGGTGTCCCTTATCAGTGTGCAAATTACACCGGC